TATATCAAATCTTACCATTGCATGCAATTTTGTTGTTATTTTAAAATGCAAAATCTGACGCATTTACGGTGTAGTAAAAAGTGGATCACTTTTTTTTTCACAATGAAATGTTTATAATTAAACAGAAAATTGTTTGCAGATATTTCATAGACAATTAATTTTAATTTAATACCTTTTAAATAATTTTATTACCTTTATATATATATATATATATATATATATATATATATATATATATATATATATATATATATATATATATATATATATATATATATATATATATATATATATATATATATATATATATATATATATATATATATTTACTAATATCACATTTTGTTCCTCCTTCTTTATTATTCCCTCTTTATCTCAATTTCCTTATGACCACCTTTTCTTCCGAAGTTTCCTTCCTTCTCCCTAGCTTGTCTTTCCATGCTTTGACGAGCTTTGGAAATAGAATGTTTGTTCTAATTTTGCCATTTTCTTACATTTAAATATAGTTTCTTCATTTTTACCAATATATAAATAATCAGATACAGTATAATTTGTCCAAACTGGCTACCCCCGGTTCCATAAAATTTGGCCGAATTAGACAGAATCTGGGGTGCAGGGAAAATGCAGGAAAATATTTCAAATTTAATTTCGTTGTGTTATTTACGAGTACAATATATAATATATAAATAAATGATAAAATCAATCAATATTTTAGAGTCTAGAAATTATTAAAGAGCATTACATGACTTACTGTATTTCTTTTTCTTTTTCGTCCACAAAGTTTGGGACTAAACGTGAAAGGTTACCGGAGTCCAAATCTACAGACTCGTATATTATACATATATATCACGCGGCCCGGGTTTTGCATGTTAAAGAGCGCATTCAATAAAACTATAAACTCAACTATCTACGATTTGATAATTATTGGATTGAAATTTTTATGTAAAAATCACAAGTCTTCCCTCCAATGTAATGGCGCCATTTTGGGATGAGACATTTGAGTTTCGATCCCGATTTATATTTTGATTTGCAAATCGTGTACCTACACTGTATTAATTTTTTATTATACTGTGTGATATGGAGTTAAAACAAAGTTAAATGTGTGGGTTATTTTTTTTTATTTTTTTGTAATTTAATCTTATATTTCTTGAAGTGGGCTGTGTCATCGCCGCGTTTCAGTTCGTCTCATGGCACTCATGCAAACCCACGTTAGCAAATCTTCACAAAAGGTGTTAATTGCTTTGAAGTAACTCAGGTTATTATGCGTGGCCGGATTAGAGGAAATAATTACCGTTAATTATGAGCAGTTGGGACCAGTATGGCAGTTCGGAATACAGAATAGACAGTATCCGGTCTACACAGAATTTTTTCTAATACATTTGTTTAAAAAGTGCATATGGGACTAAATTTTATAGCCGGAATGGAAAAAATCCGGAGTACTCAGAGTCCGGATTAGACAAATTTTACTAATTTTGGAACAAACAAAACAATAAAAATGCAATAAACAGTACAAGAAATAATTTATAATGTAATTGATACTTTTCCAAAAGTTAGTGTTAAAAGTAATAATGATATTTAAATAAAAATTATCGTAAAATTTTAGCCAAAAATGTTGCTTGTGTGCGAGTGATTTGCAATACAATTCAAGGAATCTTATCACACATATGTATGCCGAACACAGGAAAAAGACATATTTCCAGGATTTCAATCATCGACGCTAAAAATAGAGAGAAATAGATGAAATCACACGGCATGGCGATGAATTGAATTTTACCACTACTGACAGAAGGATTCCAATAAAATATGTTCTTAAATAGTTTCTACTGACAGTTAATTACAGTGTTATATCAATAAGAAATACTTCGTTCAAAATCCCGCAGTTAGTTTTGAAGCAGGAGTAAATATAGCCCCCTCCCCCTTTGTAAAAGCTAAATATCAATTTCATGAATTAACGTTTATTTTGATCCCTGTTATACTAAGTTATAGATATTTTACATTGCGGGTGCTCTTATTCCATTTCCATCAAGAAAAGAAGGAGGAATATATTAATTTATTAATTTTAAGCATAGATTTAAATACATGTAATTTCGTTGATACTTGTATGTATTTGCTCTGTACATATTTTGTAGGTGAATATGCACGAGAGAGTGAATAAAAGCTTTTATTTTTTGAAAAGAGATTGGATCCTTTTTTATGTTTGTACATACTACATGAAATCATATTTTATACATGCATAGTTAATGTGAGCAGATAATCTTATTGTCCTTAGGGTCCAGTGTTTTTAAATTTTTAGAACATTATTTTGTGAAATTATTTGTCATAAAGGAGATGACATTGTAAGTTTTAAGAATTAAGTCCAATTTGTTTTAACATCTAAATAATACAATATGTTCAATCCAAACCAACTTCTACATGTCGTTGTTGTTATTTTAAAAAAAAGGCATAAATGCAACATTTTGGAAATTTAAAGTCAAACTATGAAATTTAATAGGTAAAAAAAATCAGAAAGTCATATAAATTTTAAAATTATGTCTTGAGAAGAAAAAAAGGAAAGCAATCACATCAAGCCTGCTAAGCATCACACATGTTCAATTTTAAACAGAAAGTAGGGGAATATTCATGGAAAACACCAGAATTGCCTAGGTACAGGGGGGCGCCATCTTGGACACCCAAAGTTGTGCGGAGAAGAAAAGCTGACAGGAGTCCTGATTGGTCATTAACAGAAAATCTTTGTGGTGGAATTTGACAGTGAAATATAAGTGAAAAAAATTATATGTGACATAACAGAATGTGTAAAAAGATATAGGACATATAAAAGAAGACTTGAGATGAGGGGTGGTATTTTGCTGGACACTTTCATTCAGTGCGGATCTATACCAGTTGTAAACAGGCCAAAATTCAAAGGAAAAGTGCCGCGGCACAGTATATTTTTCGTGGTGGAATTTTGAAGAAGAGGTGTTGAACTTTGCTGCACAGTGACTGATTTTTAGAAAATTGAATATATATATATAAGTGACAGAGATTGGAATTTGTATGGAAGTCTATGGGAAAACATTTGGTGGTGTTTGTCCTCATATCTACATATATATGCAAACTAAGGTCTGACTAAACAACTAGTTAAGGATTCATACATGCGACTGCTTCTTAAAAAATGAAACTTGGAAATTTTCGTAACTTGTGATTGGTCATCAACAAAAATTACTTCGTTTAAAATCACACAGATTCTACACACAAGTATTCTGAAGTTGATATTAAAAGAATGCTGGAGTTCCTCACTGACAACATTTATGTAGTCTTCGGAAACCAGATCTTCAAATAAAATGTTGGAATTTTGATGGGTACTAACTGTGTTCCTTTATTAACCGACCTGTTTTTAATATTTGTATGAAACAGTTTTCTTTTCACAACTTCTACATGAGAAGAAGAAAACACTTGCGGTGGACTTGAAATCGACATATTGAACCGTACGCGAATGATTTGCAAGCATGTAACATTTTCGTTATGTTACCCATTGTCAATTGTGTTGGTAATGCTGAAGGTAACATTACGGATTGTTAAATGCGTCTAAACCAATCAGATTTTAGTAATTGACATGAAAGTATAATAATATCACTTGTTATACCGAGGCAGGATACTGATATTTAAGATGATTTTACAGGGATTTAAACAATCTCACCTCAAGACAGCATTTCGTAAATTCCATGGTCGTTATAATGACATTGTTAGCAAACATAACCTATCATTGGGTCGTATTTTGGTTGAAGTGTTTTAATCATGTCAATTGTTAGGCCTTTGTTTTTATACTTAATTTGACCACAGAATATGTTCCGTCTAACTGATCAATACATAAGGCTGAGAACGTGGGTCCCCGGCCAATAGGGGATGCTTTATTCTCCTGGGCACTTGAATCCACCTTTTTGGGGGTCCGTGTTCTATGCCCTGCTCACAGATTTGTTTTGTTTGTAGATTTTTTTAGATTGACCGCTGATCTTTATTTTCACCTTTTTCAAATAATCAAATACCATGAGGGCTTTATGATGGAATTTGACATGTATCAAACTGTATCTACATTCCAAAAGAATCATGTATTAAAAATATCTTATTAGATTATTTACATTTGAAATATGGAAAGGTAAATGGGTAAAAAGTCGTTGATGCAAAACGAACAATTACTTTCTTAATGTCTACTATATCAGAAAACAAACCAGCTTTAAATAAAATCAACACAGACAATGGATCATTAATGCAAAACAGAAGATCACCTGAGCAAAATGAACAGTCATTGACAGAATTCACATTAGAAGGTGTGCAAAGAAAAAGGGATATTATCTGATTTAACGCTATGTGACGTGCAAATCTATAAATTGTAGTAAACCCAATTAATTTTGAGAATACTTCGCTGAAAATGGTGACAAACAACAACACTCTACCCACTCCAAAAAAAGGAAAGGAAAGAAAGCGCCCATATTGCATCCTGACAAATATTTATGTTTTTAAATAAAATTTTCTTTTCAAAACATTTTAAAGTTAATATGAATTACTTCGAATAGATGGTTTTATTTGTCTAAATTATGTTATTTCATAAACCGATGCAATGTGTATAGAGAGCACCTGTCGTCAGTTACTTAGATAATGAAAAGAGTTCAAACGCGACACTTATTTAAGAAACCATCCATAAGAGGGCACGAGTAGGGGATGTTTCCCCAAACTATTCAACAATTCAGATTTATTCATATGGGTACATACCTCTAATTATTTTTAGAATCGGTAGGAGAAGAAAGTAGTGCAGAAAAAATTACAAGTTCCTTAATTTGTAGACCTGAATAAAAAAAACTGTGATAAGGTATTAAATTGAGCCTCATACTTGTTGATAAGGAGTATGTTCCCTTGCAAAAAAGCTTGTCAGATGTAATTTATCAAGAAGATCAGCAGAATTATTTTATGTATTATAACACCAGTGAGAAGTCTTGAAATCCCCTACTTTCACTTTCATTTTCAGAGGTTAACGCAGACAGACGCATTTTGCCGGAAAACGAATCTGACATGCCACCTCGAGATTTTAACCAAGGAAAGACAACTTGATGTGCTTTGATTTGAGGGGTCACTCAATGCTGAACGAAAATTAGGGACATTGCTATGTGAAGAAACGTTAACATTGCCGCCTATGGGAAAACAATTAGTGGGCTGTACCCAATATGAGGAGCCTATTGGTAAGAGAAAATCCTCATAGATCATTACTTTGTTTTGAACTCATTGTTTACTATCATTTCCAATTGTTTAAATTTATGAAAGAAGCAAATTTGAATTTGTTTATACGTATTTTGAGACAAATCGATTTGTTAATACCCCCCCCCCCCCCCAGGAACAGACAGCTTATGCTCATATCTCCCATTGTGTACAGATGTAGCATGTAAATTAAATGTATCGATTTTATACAATTTATTAATTCAGAGCCATTAATAGATATTTAGAAAAGGAACAATTATTTTAGAAGTACATCCACCACTATTGTTTATTTTCAATACACAAAATTTCACAAATGAGGTCGGAATCGGTAATCAGTGAAGTTCAAGGTCAAAGTGAAAGTAGAATGGCAGTAAGTTATCAAAACTGCTTAGTGCTACCTAGTGCAGAGTCTTGCAGTATGTAGGTGATATGCATTTGTCATTTTATGAAAGAGGTAAAGAAAAAAAAGGTTTCCATGCCTTATCACAATATTTGTAAATGAAAACTTTTATTTTCATGGAATAGAATTACATGTCAACGAGGACATACATGTGCATTCTTTCAAAGAAGTCGGTCAGGCTACAGTTGCGTAGAATTTAAGCAGTGTGTGCGTGAACATGCACACTAACATTTTTTTTTAATTTTATTAACTGCATTACATGTATTTGTCTAATGTATAATTATTGTCAGTAAACATGCTTTTTACCTGTATTATTAATTTACATGTAATTTAACAATGCTGAGACTAATAAGTGCAAATTCATAATTTTCAATTGATATCAAATTATGGGCATAAAAGGATTATGGTAGGATTTGTTTGTTTGATGTCTGTCTGTGAATGTTTTAGGTGCTTTATGATGCTGATTTATTATTGCACCATTTTTAAAATTGATTTTTTTTAGGATCATGGTGATACAGGACAATGTCGAGGTTCATGCAGATGTGTTTAAAACTATCAGTCAGTAAAAACAAACTCATTTGAACACATCTTGAGTCTTCACATGTAAAATGATGGCAGTACTTTTAATATGTAAGTTGAATTTTCTAAAGCTTCTTTGTGTGTGTATGTGTGTGTCTAGGGGGGGGGGGGGGGTGTTAAAGCTTAGAAAATGTAGATTTTAAATATTTGAGCTATAAAAGTGACCATCAAACTAATCTGTACATGTATGCTATATATTTTACAGCTAATATATTTTAAAAAGAATTTCAAAACAATTACATTCATAGTGTTGTGTATGATAAAATATTAAGATTAACAAATATAAGAGTTGAAATTTCTTTAATATTTATCAGTCAGAATGAGCAACTTGTAAGGAAATTCAAAATTTTCAAAGTTCTCTTTCACTTTCCTACAAATTACAAAATGGTTACCATGGAAACAAAACATTTTCTGTAGACTATTTATTTGATCTGCTCATGCAAGTATTTTTATCATTTTATAGTTGTAATGAATATTTTAGTTTTAATTTCATGTTTAATTAAAAGTACTGGAAAAGTAACACTACATGTCTAATAAGCAATCCATTATTATGATGTCATTATGACATCATAGATGAGTGAACTTGCACTGGCGTAAAAAATGCTTTGAAACAGATGAATGTATACAAGAATATAAAGGCTTATAACTTTTTTATTGCTACACCAATTTTCCTGAATGATACATCAATGGACAGGAAATAATCAGTACTTTCTATTTTTACCACTTTCGGGGTATTTGTAAACTTAATTTTTTCTTAATCATGGAGAAACAATGAATGCAAGGGTGAGGGATGATAAAATTTTGTGCAAAAATGCATTGATTTTTTGAAATAAGAGAAATTGACCCATATGAGTTCTTGATTATGATTTTGCTTAATGTATTTAAAGTTTTGAAAGAGAATAAAAGTGGTATAAGTTTATTAATAAGCTAACCGATGACTTAAAATTTGGGTGCAGTTGTGGCTAGATGGAAGCATTTTAGAAGAATTTTGCATACAGAACTGTGCATGGTGTAAAATCTTTATTAATGATTGAATTTTCCTGAAATTTGGCATAATGTCACTACATAGTCTGTAGTATGACTTAGGATGTAAAATGTTGTAAAATCCAGAAAATACTTTTTCATATTGGGTACATACCTCTAATTATTTTTAGAATCGGTAGGAGAAGAAAGTAGTGCAGAAAAAATTACAAGTTCCTTAATTTGTAGACCTGAATAAAAAAAACTGTGATAAGGTATTAAATTGAGCCTCATACTTGTTGATAAGGAGTATGTTCCCTTGCAAAAAAGCTTGTCAGATGTAATTTATCAAGAAGATCAGCAGAATTATTTTATGTATTATAACACCAGTGAGAAGTCTTGAAATCCCCTACTTTCACTTTCATTTTCAGAGGTTAACGCAGACAGACGCATTTTGCCGGAAAACGAATCTGACATGCCACCTCGAGATTTTAACCAAGGAAAGACAACTTGATGTGCTTTGATTTGAGGGGTCACTCAATGCTGAACGAAAATTAGGGACATTGCTATGTGAAGAAACGTTAACATTGCCGCCTATGGGAAAACAATTAGTGGGCTGTACCCATATAAAGGACCACACTCTTTTTCAGGAGGAGACAATGAGGAAACTGTGAAAAATTAATGGCCAAAGCCTTCTTCTCAAGAACCACTGCACAACAAAATATTCAAATAATGCCGTAAAGCACAACCTGTCCAAACCCAGTTTAACGGATTCCTTTAAAAACATGTAGATTAGAAATGAATAATCTTCAGGAAACTTCTCCAGATCAACCGAACCAAACTGAGTAACATTGGTATGCAAGCATCCTCAGTTAGTGTAGATTTAATTTATTCAAATCATGGCCCCCATGAGGTAGGATAGAGGCACAATAAGAGATCAAAGATCTTATTTTGAAAGTTTCTTAAGAACAAGAGGGCCATATGTTCTTTAAAAAGCAGGACCATGATTACTCAGGTGAGCATTGTGACCAAAGGGCCTCTTAGTTACCTCTGGTCTTGTATATTTTAAGGTCCAGAGAAAACGGGAGAAATAATTTTAAAAATGACCTTGAAGATTTGTTGAAAGCCATTGAGCAGGGAGCAAAAAATGTCAAGGTAAATTATTTTTTTCATAAAGATTATTGAACCTCCACTTTACATGTTAGTCTAAAACTATCTCTATGAAGGTTGAGATTTGATTTTCCTTAAGCTTAATTTCAAATGTTAAATTTGTTTTGAAAAATCTGCCAAATCCTCTAATTTTACTATCATATTTTTTTTTCATATTTAAATACTGGGTATAAAAGTTATCTCACCGTATGGGTGAATTTATTATAAGGGTTATCACGTTGTTTTTTATGTGTAAAAAAGTTCACGGTCAAACGCGGTCAGTAAACTAATAAAGAAAGATAATGGATCTTTACTAGAAATGGCCTGTATAGAGAAATTTTGTTCAATATTTAGTTGGCCATCAAAGCAATTTGGATCATTTTTCAACTCTTCTCACAAGAGATCAGAAAAGTTCATGCATCAATAAGGTTTATGTCATTCGTCTGTTAATGTAAACAATTTTTCAAAACACTACTCCTACAGTTTTGGTAAAATTTCAATAGATATGATACACATGTAGACTTAACTAAAATACGTAATTTTTTTGATATCAGGTTTTGATTTCAACAAATGCTGTTTCCATGTTTTACTAGAAATTTCTTCAAAATCACTACTCCTCCTACAATTTAGGTCCTATGTCGAAACCTTATTGCACATATACAGGACACCACCAATCATATTCCAAAATATGAAAGGGCTACTGAGAAAATTCTAAGAGATGTTCAGGGAATCTGGTTAGTGTAGATAAACGTCGTTTTTCGACCCTATCCCCTAACCCCGTCCCCCTCCCCTTGTGAAAATCAAAATTCCGAAACCTTAAATTATGGCACATCTACAGGACACTACATAGGATAAATTTCTGCCATTCAATTAATTGAATAGTGACTGAAAGTATGCGAAAATGTGACTGAATGGCAGAGCTCTGTCATACAGTCACCTTTCCAAACCTTTCAGTGACCATTCAGTTTGCAATCAATCATATTCCAAAATATAAATGGGCTACAGGGAAGGGGTGCATTACATAGGAAAGTAATTAATTCAATTAAAATTACTTTCCCTAAACCTTCAATTGAATTACCATTACAAGGATTTTGAAATTACAATTACTTTACAAATGCAATTAATTAGATTACTAATTACATTTTAAGAAAACACTGAGTCATGAACGTTCCTTTATATTAATATCAAATTCATACCAAATTTTTTTTTTTACATTTACATTTTTTATGTTGTGTATAGAATTTCAAATATTGTGTCCCTTAACCTACATCTATCAGGTTTGTAAGTTTTTCTTGCCACACTGGAAAAAACTTTCCACTGGGGCATAAGTGACAGAAATAGATATTTAGATACAAACTAGTATCAAGTGTACTCATGTTTTACCTTAATTCATATGTGTTGCAAAATTTAATGTCATTTTTTAGCTTTCTGAAATATTTATGTAAAACAATAGATATTTTTTGTCTTGATATTTCCTTTTTCTTTGATGCTGGTATTTGAGCAGACATGTTGTGTGTCAAACTACCAAAAATGCAAAGTGTGTGTGTAAAATATCTATAAAAGTTTAGTGTCAATATGTACATCACCTTAGGGCACCAATTAGCACCTGTGAATCACTTCTTACACAAGCTGTAAACAAATAAGGCCAAAAAAGGATTAGAAGCCATTGGACTAGGTCTTTTAACTGTCAATTCATAAACAATCTAATCAAAATTATTGATTTTAATTGTAGATTAATCACAAAGAGATTATTTTGATTCAGAAGTTTTAAAGAAAATGCAAAAGGGAAACAGCAATTCACTAAAAAGGGGAAATATCTAAATTCCTTTTTAAAAAAATTATCATCAAAATATTTTGTTCACAATTTCAGTTAAGCTTTCTTCAATTGTGTGTGATGTGGGGGTGGGAACGGGGGAGGGGGGGGGGGCTATTTTTCATTCATTAAACATCAGTGTAATTGGATGTAATTGAGAAGTAATTGTGCATTACATGCCTTTTGTCGAAATTGATTAATTAAATTACAATTAAATGTAATTGGAAATTCGGCGATTACACATTTCTTTCAATTACATTGAAATTTGTTATTAACTACTCTTAATTACCATTACACATTTTCATTACCCATCCCTGATAGTCAATTCGGAAAATGAAAGAGTTCGGGGATCAAGGTTTTTGTTGAAAATGTTGTTTTTGACCCCCATTTTGGCCCCCTGGGTGAAAATGAAAGTTGCAAAATCTTATTGCACATGTTCAGGACACTAACAACCATATTCCACAATATGAATGGGTCATTGCTTAAAATGTTAGAGGAGTTTGAAGAAAAAAATAGTGTAATAGACGGTCGGACCGGGATAACAACAATATACCCGGATTTTTTTTTTTAAGAAAGCGCAGGTTTAAAAAAAATTAGTACATCTTCTGATTTATATAAGTGAACAAAAAAATTAGAATTAGTTTATTATAAATGTATCATTGAATGACAAGGAAAAAGATATTACGTTTGCTACAACCAAAAAAATCTGTCTGCAGCAATGAATTTTGAAATGTTTGGCCTGAGAAATTAAAGATATATATTTTTTGGCTTCAGTCTGCACATCATTCTAATGTGAAATACAACATATAAAATAATTATTTAGAATCACAATAAGACATTTATGTAGGTAAATATGAAGGATTAAATCTTTGCATGTTTCTCTGAAATTCCACTAGAATGGGGATTTGCAATACATATCTGGAATAAAAAGCGTAGGCAGGTCTGAAAACCTTATGTAAACATATATTTCTTTGATTGATTGATTGAATGTTGTTTTACGTTCCGTTCGAGAATTTTTCACTCATATAGAGACGTCACCATATACCGGTGAAGGGCTTCAAATTTAGACCTTTAGTCGGCACTCAGGGCCATTGAGCAGTGAGGGATCTTTATCGTGCCAACGCCTGCCGTGACACGGGGCCTCGGTTTTTAAGGTCTCATAAGAAAGACTCGCAACTTTCACTCCAAAGAGCCGAGCAATTGGCGAAGGAAATTATTTATATGAGGAGAACAAGTGTTTCAATGTAGAGGACATACAGTCATATACATACATCATCAAAATAGAAATAAGGAAAGTTTTTTTTTTCGTGATTGTAGCAGGTTTATCAATACATTCTTTCTGCAAAATTTTAAGTCTGCCAATTTTCTGTTTGCACCATGAATGCATTTTGTGATAATATTGCAAAAACAAAGTGGTTACAGAAATTTAATAAATTAAGGAGAGATGACACAAACAAAAGCATCGATGCCCGGATTGGTATATAATTTTGGACCAATTTCGGTTGTAAATGATACATATAATAAATTTCTAAAATATTAAGAAATTGTAAACTTTGTATGATCGACGTTCAAAAACCTACCTTTCTGTAGCCGTCCTTACTAATCTATACGACTTTTCGGCACTTTATATCCCATCATTGTGAACATTTGAATGAAAAATTAAAAACTGTGCGTTTAAACTTATTTGTTAAACTTTTATAAACATGATTTTAGCTGTTATTTTTAAGATTTTTGATAAAAGTTTGTTTATATTATCTGTCCTTAATTAAAAAATTATATGCACGTACATTACTACACAATTGATTTTGTATCTAGTCTATTCTAAGTTTTGTAGCTTTCTGCAATTCATGATATGGATCCTGTTTAAGCGATTCCTGATAAGTCAGTAAAGCCCCGTGTAAGTCTCCCACAATTTGCCGACAGATTCCTAGTATCTGCAAGGATATGTCTCTGTGTATTAATGGTACACATGTTCCATCAACATAGAGTTTATGTTTATATATTTCTGTCTAATTGTCTTTTAACCCATCCTATTCTAATATATGTAGCTTTACTTACTTAATTACTTACTTCATTTAAATTTAAAAACATTTAAAGAATCTTCAATATCATGTCATATCAACTTCTTCCACATTTTATCCACATGCATGTACATTCACTCGTATTCCTGTTTGAGATACAATAAATATCTTTACCTATAAATATTCACTTTCCAACAATTTTCCATTCTTCATATGAGTCGCAAAGAATTTAGATAAAAAAAAAACATGATGTTTTGTATAAAGTATTCAAAATGTAAGGTAATGAAATATTTTGACCCCCTTCCCCACCCCTCAAAAATAAAATCGACGGCAACATTTATTTCAAATAATGCTTATATGTTATAATAAATATTAATTCCTTAGTCAGGCAAGCTTTTTGAAAAGCTATTACTTCTTCCAATTAAACTTTAGAATTCACATAGCATTTATCACTGATGATATCATATAAAGGCATAGTAGTCTTTGAGTATTGTTTAAAATGTAATAGTCTAGACTGAGAGTATCTATCCAAAATTGAAATCACGCATGTTCCATTTTCTCAAAATGGAAGCAAGTACGCAATGTTTCTAACGTACTTTTCTAACGTACATGTTAGAAAAGTACGTGAGAAATTCT